GGCTGGGCCGGGCAGGCGGGGCTGGGGAAGGAAAGCTGGGGGGTTTGCTCTGGATGTGGGGGACAGCGTGGGGAGCGGGGCCAGGGGGATGGAGGCAGTGGCTCGAACAATCCTGGAGCAAGGAGGCAAATCAGGCTGGTGCTGGCTCTGGGGTGGGGCATGTCCCTGGCATCGCTGGCCCCAGAGCCAGCTGAACGGGCAGGGGCAGTTCTGGGCAGCCAGAGGCTTGGGGAGTGAGGCCAGGCCACCAGGGCTAACGGGACAGGTCCCAAAGGGACTGGGGCAGCTTGGAGGGCCACGAGGACACAGGGATTTGGGTTTGATGGGAAAGGCTCCCCCAGCATCACAGCACCCCCAGGCGTCGCACTGGGAGGGGAGGAGCCCCCCCCAGCTCCACCCCCGGCAGCATTGGGGGTCCCTGGGAACGTCTCCCAGCCCAGCTTAGCAGGTGGAACTGACGTGTCTGGGGGCTGAGCACGGGGCGTCGCTGGGCGCCCTGCGGGGGGAATAGACCATGCAGGATGGGGCATTGCTGGCTAGGGCTCTGCATGGGTGTGGTCCCCTAGCCATTGGGCTGTTCCCCGCTCCAAGCAAGGCCTGGCTGGGAGCTCACCTGGGACCGACCTAGATCTCGGCTTGGCTGAGGCTGTCTCTGCATGGCAGGCTCCTGGCAGCATCTCGGAGAGGTCCCTGGCTGGGCTAGGGGACCGTCTCTCTTCTCGATGGGGGCCAGGGGACAGCAGTTCTACCCCACCACCCAGGGCCCCTGGGGGAGACCAGACCGGAGGCTTTGTCTTGGCCCCACCCTTGCAGACCATGGGGGTCTAGGGGCTGGGTGCTCCCCTGCCCCTTGTGCGGTCCCCTGACCAGGCCCTGCAGCTGCCCAGGGCCTCTGACCTTTGTGATCCCAGAGCACACCTGGGGAGGGGTTAGTGACGGGGTTTGGGAGCAACCCAGTGGGGTGGGGGGAACCTGGGCTACTCAGCTGGGAAAGGAGGGAGGCTCCAGCGGCTGGGACGGGGGGCGCGGGAGGTAGAACAGGGGTGCAGGGGGCATGGAGCATGTACTCCGGCTTCCAGCTGCGTGGCAGTGGGGTGGGTGAATCAGTGCACGCCTTGCGCCATCCCTGTCTCGGGGCTCAGCTGATTGCGGGCACAGGCCCTGGAGCAGGGGGAGCCCCAGAGCCCCTGGCCCCCCTGGGGAGCGAGCCTCTGCTCTGACTCTCTCGGTCCTTGAGCTAACATTGTGCCAGGCTGGGCCGCCTGAGGAGAGCCGAGTGGCTGGGCCCAGACTGGGGTGAGGAGGGAGCCACGGCCTTTGTGACGGCCGCGCCCCCTCCCCCACGACGCCCCTGCCCCCTCCCGCGCCCCCTCCCCCACAATGCCACCACTACATCCCAGGCCCCTGCCCCATGGCACACCCGCACCCCACCCTCATGCGATGCCCCCGCCCCAGGCCCCTGCCCCGTCCCACGCGTCGCCCCCGCCCCATGGCACCCTCGCACCCCACCCTCATGCGATGCCCCCGCCCCAGGCCCAGGCCCCTGCCCCCCCACCCCCCCCCCACCCCACCCTCATCCCCCCCCCCAGCCCAGGCCCCTGCCCCGCCCCACGCGTCGCCCCCGCCCCATGGCACCCTCGCATCCCACCCTCATGCGATGCCCCCGCCCTGTCCCACACGACGCCCCCGCCCCGTCCCATGCGACGTCCCCGCCCCATGGCACCCTCGCACCCCACCCTCATGCGATGCCCCCGCCCCAGGCCCCCGCCCCGTCCCACACGACGCCCCGCCCCGTGGCACCCTCGCATCCCACCCTCATGCGACGCCCCCGCCCCGTCCCACAAGAGTCCCCGAGCTCAGGGCTGCTCATGCACCATTCCACAAGACGCTTGTGCACCATCCCGAGAGAAGCTCGTGCACTGGCCGGGGAGCCGTCCCGTGGGAGCCCGTGGGCTGGGCTTCCTGCCTGTGTCCTGCGAGAGCCTGGAGCGGGGCTGGGCTGCTGAGCCAGGCGCCGGGTGAGGAGGCGGCCGGTGCGTCTCCTCCTGGGAAGCAGCTGCCTTGCATGTCTCTCTCCAATTCCAGCGTCTTCCTGCTCCACGAGGTAACGGGGGTCCCAGCGCGCCCGGGCCCAGGCAGCGTCCGGGTCGGCACCCTCGCCGTGCCACGCCGCGTGTCTGTCGAGCAGGGCTGGGGGTGGAGGCTGCACCGTCGGCTGGGGGCAGGAGGAGGGAGTTGGACTGACCCTGAAAGAGGGTTCGGGCTGCAGACTCAGCTGCTCGAGGCTTGGGCCGCCCCCCCCGCCCCTGGCAGGAGGCTACTGGGAGCCGGGCGGTGAGGGCCGAGGGGCTGGAGTTCGGGCACAGCATGGAGGTACGTGGGAGAGCTGGCTGCGGCAGCAGCCAGGCCGACAGGACCAGCAGGGCAGGGGCCAGAGAAAGCAGCCGAGGGGCTGGCTGGGACTGAGGGCTCAGCCCCACGCGGAAGGGGAGCCTTCGCCCTCCAGCCCCGCGCCAGGCCCCTGGGCGCTCACCCCCTCATGCTTCCCACTGCACCAACTCCCCCAGGGGCTGGGGTAGCCCAGAGCCCCCCTGCACGCACTGCCGCGTACAGCACCCCCTGCTGGGACAGGCAGGGACTAGAGTAACTGGGCGCACCCCCCTATAGCCAGGGCACCTGCCCCGCCCTCTGCAGCGCCCCCTGCTGGGACAGGCTGGGTGTGCACCCTTCCCACCCGGTGAAGCTTTTTGGGTGGTGGGGGTCTCTCTTGCCCCCTGGTTTACGGTGTGTGCGTGGGGGGAGCTTGTCTGCGGCTTCTCCCACAGCCAAGGAATATTTCGTCCCTATTAAATATGACTCAGCATCGGAACTGGGAGCAGGGTGAGCAGCCCCCTGGCTCTGAAGGGGGGAGGGCAAGAGATGAAATTGCCCCAGCCCCCCTCGGCGCCAGCCGCCCTGAGCAAACGGCCCCAGCGCCCCCCAGCCCTTTGGGGAGCAGGACACTGCTTCGCAAGCACCCCAGGGCCACGCACCAGCCTGGCAGGCAGACTGTCCCCATGGATAATGGGGTACAGGCCAGGGGGTTCGGGGTCACCCCACTGCAGCCAGGCGAGCACGGGGGGAGGCCTGGCTCCGGGGCAGGTTCGGGGCTGGGGCAGTGAGTTCCCTCCCATGGGGCAGGGAGATGCCCTTGTCCTGTCCTGCTGGGGGGGGGCGGTGGACCACGATGTACTGCCCTTCCCCCCCACAGTTAGTGTGAGCAGCTGGGGAGGGGAATCAGGGTGCGAGCTGCCGGACCCCCCCTTCGCTGGGCAGCAGAGCCCGCCCCCCAGGTGCTCCCCTCCCGGGGGGGGGGCCGCCCTCAGCCCCACCCAGCCGCTAATGGGGCGCCGGAGCCCCTCAGTGGCGGAGGGAGGGGCGGGGGAGGACGCGGCTGGGGGGGCAGGGGAGGGAGGAGGGAGCAGCGAGCGAGGGGTGGGGGGCGCGGAGCGGGCGCAGCCGGCGGAGGGGGGCGGCCACGCACCCGGGGAGCGGCCGGGCAGAGCCGAGCTGCGGGCGCAGGGAGCGGGGGGCTCGGCTCGGGGCGGGGGGCTCGGCTCGGGCTCGCTGGCCCCGTCTATGTCTTTTTCTGACTCCAGCGCAACCTTCCTGCTGAACGAGGTAACGTGTCCCCCCCCCCGTGCCCCCGGGTCCCCCCCGCCCTTCTCCCCGGACCTCCCCCCCCGCCCTGTGCCCCCGGGTCCCCCCCGCCCTTCTCCCCGGACCTCCCCCCGCCCTGCGCCCCCGGGTCCCTCCAGCCCTTCTCCTCAGACTGGGGGAACCGGGAGAGGGATGGGGGGGCAGGCGAATTGGGAGGGGGCTGTGGGGGACCAGGGGAAGCTGGGGGTGACAGACAATTGCTGCTGAGTGGGGGGTTGGGAGGGGAGACTTTTTGTGGTGGGGGGCAGGGTGGTGGAGCCCCCCGCATCTGGCTGGGGTTCAAGGTTCCTGCCCACCTTCCTCTCCCCGGCTGCCAGGGGTCACTTCTGGAGGGAGGGGGCACCTAGCTGGTGGGCCCAGACCCAGGAGTCTGGGGGGTGCAAGGGGTGCTGCATGGCGGGGGGGGTTCTCTCTCTTCTTCCACACCCCCTGCTTGCCCCCAGCGCCCAGGGGAGGTGCTGCTGTGGAGCTGTGTCCCCAGGGCTCACTGGGGGGGGGGGGGGGCAATGGGCAAATCCCAGCCACGGGAACGCTGGGCTGGGCTGGGCCAGCCCCATCCACTCCCCTCACCCCCAGCACAAGGGCAGCCTGCCTGGAAAGGCCGGAGGCCGTGGGGTGCCCCATGGCGGGGGCTGTGTGCGGTGCCAGGGTGGGGGGAAGGTCAGTGCAGGGCCCCGATGTTCTTTGTGCTGGGAGCTGGGTGGGGCCTGCCCAAGTGAGACCCACTGCTGGGTGTGTCACAGCCCCTCGCCCCCCGCTGCAGTGCCATGGAGGATGCCAGTCTGATGCAGCCCCCCCACTGGGGGCATGTGCCGCTCTCGTGGCCCCGGTTCGATCCCCCGGGTGCCGGCATCCTGGGTTGTGGGATACTGCAGGGCGGGGCTGGGCCGTGGGATTCCCGGTGCTTGTGCTTCCGGCTGGGTGGGTAAACAGGGTGTGGGCAAGGCCTAGGGCGTTTCTCTGGGGGTGGGGGGCTAATGGCGGCTCAGTGAGAAGTGCAGAGTGTTCTCCGGGATGGAAGCCCTCACCCCATCATTTCCATCTCTCTGGTTTTCCCCTCCGCCCCCTTCCCTTCCCCCGGCCTGTGCAGAAATCTGCTGCTGGCTCGGAAATGGTAATTACCTTTCCATTTCCACGGAGAGAGCGGCTCAGCGGCTGGGAGCCTGGATCCTGGGACTAGGTCTGTGCACAGGGGGACACGGATCCTGGCACTAGTGCACGGGGAGAACTGTGAATCTGTGCACAGAGGGACACGGATCCTGGCACTAGTGCATGGGGGGAACTGTGAATCTGTGCACAGAGGGACACGGATCCTGGCACTAGTGCACGGGGGGAACTGTGAATCTGTGCACAGAGGGACACGGATCCTGGCACTAGTGCACGGGGGGAACTGTGAATCTGTGCACAGAGGGACACGGATCCTGGCACTAGTGCATGGGGGGACTGTGAATCTGTGCACAGAGGGACACGGATCCTGGCACTAGTGCATGGGGGGAACTGTGAATCTGTGCACAGAGGGACACGGATCCTGGCACTAGTGCACGGGGGGACTGTGAATCTGTGCACAGAGGGACACGGATCCTGGCACTAGTGCATGGGGGGACTGTGAATCTGTGCACAGAGGGACACGGATCCTGGCAGTAGTGCATGGGGGGAACTGTGAATCTGTGCACAGAGGGACACGGATCCTGGCACTAGTGCATGGGGGGACTGTGAATCTGTGCACAGAGGGACACGGATCCTGGCACTAGTGCACGGGGGGAACTGTGAATCTGTGCACAGAGGGACACGGATCCTGGCACTAGTGCACGGGGGGAAATGTAAATCTGTGCACAGAGGGACACGGATCCTGGCACTAGTGCACAGGGGGAACTGTAAATCTGTGCACAAGGGACACGGATCCTGGCACTAGTGCACAGGGGGACTGTGAATCTGTGCACAGAGGGACACGGATCCTGGCACTCGTGCACGGGGGGAACTGTGAATCTGTGCACAGAGGGACACGGATCCTGGCACTAGTGCACAGGGGGAATGTGAATCTGTGCACAGAGGGACTGGGATCCTGGCACTAGTGCACGGGGGGAACTGTAAATCTGTGCACAGAGGGACACGGATCCTGGCACTAGTGCATGGGGGGAATGTGAATCTGTGCACAGAGGGACTGGGATCCTGGCACTAGTGCACGGGGGGACCGTGAATCTGTGCACAGAGGGACACGGATCCTGGCACTAGTGCATGGGGGGTCTTTGCACAGAAGCATGTCCTTACTCCCCCCCCCACATTATATGGGTCACCCCTGCCCCTGGAGCCCCTTCTCTTTGCCCTCCTCTCTGTAGCCACAGCGGTGAACCTGCAGCCTCTCCCTCCCCTGCCTGTCTCTCCTCCTTCCCTGGCACCAGCTCTTTGTTCCCCTTCAGCTGCTCTCTGCCTCTCGCTCCTCCCTGCCACGCCCCCTCCCTCCCTGCTCCTGCTGTCCCCCCCCCCCCCCCGCTCCGCCACTACCAGCCCCATCAGGCAGGTGTAGCTGGGTCCCAGGACCTGCAGGCCCCCAGCCCCCCAAGCTGAGCCCTCCTGTCCCCAGCCCACAGGCAACTGCTGTTGTTTTGCCAGCCCGGCGGGAGCCAGAGCCCCTGGCTCCCCCCGCCCCGCCGAGCAGGGTGGGGCCAATACAGTTTGGGCCCGCCTGGGGGGTCCGTCCCACTCCTCCGCTCACTCCTGCTGCTCTCTGAGCCCCACACGCCCTGGGCTCCTCCATGTATGACGACTCCTGTATCCATGGCTTCGAGGACTCCGAGGTGGTGAGTGGGGGTGCCGGCTTTTTTTGGGGGGGCTGGCAGGGAGCCCCTTCCCCGCAGGGCTGGGAGCGCAGGGGGTGCTGCTCTTGGTTGGGGACTCTGGGTTTCTGGCAGGCCTCCCCCCGCCCACCCTCCGGTTATTTATACAGCCCCATAGCCATGGTGGCATTTCCAGCCGCGCTCCCGTAAGGTGGCGAGATCGGGTGCGGGGGGCTGGTTGCTGAGCAACAGCTGGCACCCTGGGGGGGGGCTCAGAGTCCTGGATGGGCACCTATGTGTTGGCATGAGGTGGGGGTGCTGTGCTGGCAGGCGCGGGTGTTGCTGGTTACAGACCCTCCCCCCCGACATGGGGCAGGGGGTTTGTCTCTGCGCCTGGCAGGGGAGTGCCAGTTTTTTTTGGGGGGGGGGGGCTGTAAGCCATTAGAGATGCTCTTGGCTTTGTCGGAATGTCGCGGGCAGGGACGCTGGGGGGGGCGCCTGGCATAGGGGGTGCGCTGTGCCCTGAGCTGGGGGGAATGTCGCTTTGTGCAGAGAGGGGCTGCACCGCGACCCCAGTTAGGTCATAGCTATGCAGAGCCCACGGCCGGCCTGAGCTGCAGGGTATGGGAGACCCCTGGCTGCGCCCGCCTGCAGAGGGCACCCTGGAGCCCACCCAGCCAGGCCATGGGGCTGCGCCCCCCTCAGGACAGAGCCACATGCCCTGCCCCCCGCAGCTAGACCCCGGGGCTGCAGCACAGGGCCAAGGAAGGGGGTTGGGGATCGGGATCCCAGCAGGGCAGGGGAAGGCCAGGGTGTGGTGGGGATGTGGCAGGCAGGGGCAGAGGGGCACTGGGCAAGAGGGGAGACGGGTGGGGGGGCTAATGGGGGTGCTGGGACAAGCTGTGCCCATGGCAGTCAGGCTGAGCCTGGCTCACGCAGCTGGGCAGGGGTGGCTGGAGTCGCTCCCGGGGAGGGGAAGCTGCTTTTCAGAAACAGAGCTGGGGACCTATAAATATTTCACTGCAGCTTCTGCTTTTGTTCTGGGGACGCAGCAGGAGCCATTCATTTAACCAGGCGGCTCCTGCCGAGGGGGTGGGGGGCAGAGTACGCCCCCACTTCCAGCTCAGCCCAGCACCCTCTGCACCTTCCCCTGCCTGGTGCACCCAGGGCACACCAGGGTTTATCCCCAGCAACGCTGCCTAGGCCAGGGGGTGGGAGGGGTTGGGCAGGGCTGGGAACTTGTGGGGTTCACGGGGGGAGCTCAGCACTGGGGTAACACAGGGCCAGGGGTTCACGAGGCATGGGGGGGGGAGTTCCAGGGGACGGGGGGGGAAAGCTGGGGGGGCTGGATACTGTTGGGAAGTGGCAGGGCCAGGGAAGCCAGGGGCGCCGGGGGCATGGGGGAGGCCGGGCAGGGGGCAGGGCAGGGGGCTGTGGGGAGCGGGGCAGGCTGTCCCGTGCTAGCCATGGCTGGTGAATGGGGCTGGAGTGACTCGGCAGCAGGTAGCTGGGTCGTGCTCGGTGCTGCCCGGGGGATCGGGTGCCCACCGCAGGCACATCTGCTTGGCTCTGAGGTGTGTGGGCTGGCGCCAGGGGGCCGGATAATCAGATGAAACAACAAACCCGCCCCCCTGTGAGGCTGCTGCTGCCCGGCATTTCCCAGGGTCTGCGGTGCCACAGGGAGCCCTGGGCACGGGCCGTGAGGAGCGTGGGTGACATGGGACCTGGCGGGTCCTCTGGGTCTGTGTCCCCAGCTTGCAAAGGGTTAAAGGTCACTGCAGGGTCAGTATTTCCGGGGGGGGGGGGCACACTCAGCTGGGAAAGGAAGGGAAGGTGTCTCTGGCTGGCATGGGGGGGCCGCCCCACCTCTGGTCCCTCGTCTGACGCCCTGTCCTGCTCAGACCCTGCCCTCTGGCCCAGCAGGCTGTGAAAGATGGTGAGGTCCCCCCCCCAGTCATTATCCTCTCCCTGCCATGCAGAGCCAGAGAGTTCATAGTGCTCAGGCTCAGGGGCAGGGCTCCTGCACTGAATAATGGGGTTGACCAGCGGGGTAGAAATACATCGGGGCTGGAGTGAGTTTCACCCCACAGCCTCTCCCTGGGACCGGGGCGTTCACAGGGCTGCCTGGAGGAACTCAAACCCAAAATTGCAGAACTGCGAACGACGGTAACCGATCGCTGAAATCTGCCTCCGCCCCAGGCGAGGACTGGAGGGGAGCAAATCCAACGCTGACTTGTAAAAGGGGCTCCCGAGGGGATCCCGGCAATGACAAGCCAGTGAGTCGAACTTCAGTCCCAGGCAAACTGGTAGGAACGATCAGCCACAGAGATGGGGACGAGCCAACCCGGCTTGTGTCACGGGAAATCGCGCCTCACCGATCTATTACAATTCTTTGAGGGAGTCGACAAGCATGTGGACAAGAGGGATCCAGTCAGCTAGCGCATCTGGATTTTCAGACTGACTTTGACGAGGTCCCTCATTCAAAGGCTCTGAAGGAAACTACGTAGCTATGGGATGCGAGGGAAGGTCCTCTCCTGGGTCACTAACTGGTGGAAGGGTAGGAATAGGCCAGTGGGAACCCCAGGGGTCTGTACGGGGCCTAGGGCTGTTCAACACCTTCATTAATGATCTGGGGCAAGGGGTACACTGGGACGATGGTTAAGCCCAAAGCAGGCTGTGAAGAGCTACACAGGGACCGCCCAAAACGGGGTGACAGGGCAAGGAAATGGCCGCTGGAATTCGGTGCTGGGCCGCACAAAGTAACTCGCACTGGAAGAGAGAATCCCACTACACACAGTGACGGGGTCTAACGTCGCTGCAGAACGAGAGCTTGGAGTCACCTAAACTTCCGCTCAATGGGCAGGGCGGCAACCCCTGTCCCCCCAGGCCCCCGCCCCAGCCAGCCGGTACCTCTGGGATCTGCCGTCATGTTTGTTCATTCGCTCCCCCGCTCCCTGTAGGCCTGGCAGGCGGGGAGCGAGGGGAGCTGGCAGCCACAGCGGCTCAGTGTTTACCCCAGGCGGGTGCTGGCACGCCCTCCACTCGCTGGCATGGCCCTGCCGCTGACTTCACCCTCCCGGGGGGCGGGGAGAGCCTGGAGCCTGGGATTTGCTCCCTCTGCCATCTGGGGATGGAGCCCGGGCCAGGCGGGGAGGAGACGCCCAGCAGGGTGGGGAGGGGGGATAAGGGACCATTTCCCCGCCCTGCCCCGGGGCTGCACCGGGCCCAGGCTGCTCTCCGTGAGCAGGGCTGGGGGAGGGCAGGAGCCTGAGCTGGGGGGGGCACAGCAGGGCTGTCTGACGCCACCAGCTACTTTGTGCCTGCCGCCTCTTAAAGAGACACGCACGGCCCTGGGGTGGCTGGCCCGGGGCTCCCCCTACGCCACGCTCCCCATCCCCCAGTGCAGTCACACCAGCCCCACGTGGCTCCCCGCATCTCCCCTGCCTGGTGCAGAAAGTGACTTGTACCAGCGCAAGCCGCCTTTCACACTAGCTGCTCCACTGGGGGGGGGGGGCAGCTTCATGGTGTTATTTTTAATCACCTGAGGGGCTGTCAGCAGCACCCACTGCCCTGGGATATCCCAGGGTGGCTCCAGGGGAGTCAGGGCTCTCTGCGGGAGCACAGATCTGGGTGGACGCTGAGAGGTGGGGGAGGCGCCTGGGCGCAGGGCTATCGCCTCGCTGTGCCGGGGAGCTCCCTGTCCTGCCGCGATGGCACTCAGGCTCCCCTGCCCTGCAGGGCTCAGCCGATTCCTACACCAGCCGGCCGTCCCTGGACTCAGACGTGTCCCTGGAGGAGGAGCGCGAGACGGCCCAGAGCGAGGTGGAGAACCAGGCACAACACCAGCTGGAGAGGGCCAAGGTAGCCAGGCAGGGGCCAAGCCGGGGGCAGCCCTGGCTCTGCACGGGAGGGGCGCTGCTGGCTGTGCCGGACCACGAACCTGGGGCCCTCTAGGCTCTTCCTCACAGCCTGCTCCAGTAGCAGTCGAGGGTCTTGGACACACGCAGCTGGGCAGCTTTGCTGCCAGCCACTAGGGGGCAGCGGTGAACACACACAAACACGTGTGCACATGCTTAGCCAGATGACGGAGTATCACAGAGGTGAGGGTCCCGGAGTCCGGCCCCTCTCCTCTTGGCCCATCCAGCGTGGCATCCTCTCCTTCCCACTGCCCAGGGGCAGGCCAGGGGGCCATCTAGCCTGGCCTCCTGCAGTTGCCCTTGCCTGGGGGTCAGAGGGAAGCGGGATCCCTCGTGGCCCTGGGGCCATGGTGTGATGCTGGCCGGCTCCTGGA